CATAAAATTGTAGGGGAGCTTCTGATATGCCACATCTCTATTGCTAATCGTTCTGTGTTTCCGCATCTCTTCTTGCATCATATGACTTTCTAAAGAACATCTGTTTCAGAGGAAAAGGTGAAATAACTATGCAATATCTCCTGATGGACAACACAATGGCTCTCTCTCACTGGAAGCACTCCATAATCACTTTCTTGACAATGATTGTCCCTCTCAATTAGAAATGCCTCCAAATTCCACAGGAACAGAAAATTAAGGTAATTGCATTATGCTGAGAAACTTTGTTTTTTCATTATTATTATTTCTGAGTGGTTTAGGTCAAAGCAACAATAATTACTGGAATTCCTCAGGAAAGAACACTTTAGTCAAAAATAACCCTTGACCAAAACAAATGGACAAAAATCAACAGTGGAACAGAGTTAGTGATGTCAACCACTAATGAACTTAAAGGTCAGTTTTAATTCAGCACGCTCATTTATTTATACGGTATTTAACAAGGACATTTTAAAACATATGAGGATAGGAAGAGAATGATGCTGAGAGGAATTTAATTCATAAAAGGACAGTAGTTTGAAGTTGCATACCTTCTGATAGCTAGAGAAACACTGAGATAATAATCCTAACCCCTATGGTTGTATATAAAAGAGACACAGTCTATTTTAAAATTACAGGAGGTATACTTCTGGTTCAAAGAGTTGCTAAGAATAATTACTTCCTGTTTGGGCCTGCTGTCTTGATAGAACATTCTGCCAGGATGCAGTCAGGTTCTTGCCAAGAAGATTTCAGGCATATTGCCAGAAAAAGATGAAGAAACAATAAGAACATAGATGTCCTCCAACAGAGACAATTACATAGTCATTGGCTGTTATTATGGAGTTTAAATATGCTAGTCTCCTTTAGAAGAAAGTTATCTGAAATTTCAGCCAAATATAGATACAGAAACTTGCACATGGTAATATAGTATATTAGGTCAGTGCTGTGGGATCCCATGTGTTCTGAATTAGTCCCTAGTCCACTTTCATATATTGCATACAATATGTATATAGTTGTGAGTTAAACCTTCAATGCTTATCTTCTTTTGTGTTCTCTATAATTTTGTTGAGAAGGATGTCAAGGTATTGATTTAACAGCTAACCAGCTTATGTAATGAACGATGTAAGATGTAATGTAATGATGAGAATGACTCAGCAGGGTTTGTGTCTCTTTAAGAGCATTTGTATAAAGGGAAGGCTCTGCTGATGTGTTCTCTCTCTTCTGTTTCTTGCTGTAACTGCTGTGTGTTAGAGCCTGCTGTATTAAAATGCATATGTATATTGTTCCTGGTGTATGATATTGTAGATAGTGTAAGATAAACCACCATTTAATATAGACCACTGTTTACTGTATTTAGTCCTGGGTTATCTCAGTGCAATAAGATTGTGCATGCTCTGACAGATTATGGGCCCAGAGTGAGGAGAAACCCAGTGAGAGCTTGACCCAGAGCCAGAGGAGTTAAGGCTTGTGGTTTGTTATGGTTTATGGTGGTAGCAGGCAACATGGGCTCTATGTCAGCGGTAATGGGAGGAGGTTTCATAGTATCTCATCTGAATGAAACAAACTACCTCTCCTGGAGTCTGAAAATGGACATGTATCTGCGAAGGGAGGAGTTGTGAATAATAGTTGCTGATCCACCTGCAGCCCTGGATTATGGGGACCAGAGAAAGAATGAGAAAGCATTGGCCAGCATAATCCTGAGTTTGGAAAATAGCCAGCTGATACACGTGAGGGGTCTCCAGTCTGCTAAAGAATGAGGGGAAGCTTTGCACAGTGTGTATGTGAGAGAGACTGGACTGCGAGCAGCAAAGTAATGCTGACAAGAAAGCTATATAAGGCCTAACTGATAGAGAGCATATCTATGCATTTGCAGTCCGTGATAAAGACATTCCTAGAAAGAGGAATGACTTTTACTGAGGCACACAAAATATATGTGGTGCTCAGTTCATTGGACAATTCATGGGACATCCTAGTGACCAGTTTAGAGTCTATGCAAGAGGGGGACTTAACCATGAGTTATTTGACAGGCCAGTTGCTGGAGGAGGAACAGAAATGGCTGGAAAGGCAGCAGAGAGGAGGTGACGACAACACACAGCTCAAGCCTACAACTGCAACATTCAAAGATGCCAATAGAGCATCCAAGAACGTTTGCATGGTGAAATGCTGCTTCACATGTGGTTCTACAGGGGGGAAGCCATGAAAACAGCCAACTATCAAGTAAACAGGGTATAGAGCGTTGCTATCAATGAAACTCCATATTACCTGTTATATGGAAGGAAACTTTCATTGGCTCAATCTAAGGACATGTGGCAGTTATGCCTGGGTGCATATTCCCAAAAGTACTAGAAGGAAAGGCCAGGAAACTTAGGTTTGTTGGATATGAGCCAGGTTCCAAAGAATATAGATTCACAGATGGAACAAAGAAGGTTCTGATTTCAAGGTCTGCAAGTTTTGCAGAACAAAACAATTGGGACAGGGTGCATGCTAACACCAAGGTGTTCATGCCAACACGTAGCACTAATTCTCAGGAAGAAGAGGCTATACAAAACCCAATGAAGAAAGAACAGGATCGCAGGTCAGAAATAGTAGCAATAGAAGAGGATAGACCTGAGGTAAAGAGAGAAGTCACAGAAACACAGGAGCAGATGATACATTCTCCCATTGCCATCTTTATACATGCAACATTGTCCTCAAATATTGGCACAGCTTCTTTTACATCAATATGTACATCTCATAAGAATAAACATGCACATTCATAGATTCCATTTCTCTATCCATAGCCTCCTTCCATCTATCCTGTTCTACTTGAGGCAATGATGATAACATCTCTTGGTAATTACGGGCTTCATACCTTGCACTATATGCTCTAACCCCACTTGCTGAGAAACCGATCAGGAGGTATGCCTTTATTGCTAAGTTCAGATCTCCTCTGTATTATGTAGTCTGGCTCAGTTGCAGACCACCAGACTAGGGAGATTGCCGAAAATAGGCATGAGCAATAAAGTAGCTAATTGAACTCTTCATGTGTGGATCTGGTTATTCACACCTAACATTTTGTGTGAAGAACCACCTTCACATCAAAGAGAATATTCCCATTTGGGGGGGGGGGAGAATAGAAACCTTGTTTTTATAGATTGCTGCACAAGATCTAGAATGTGGATACACATTCAGGGCTCTGCAGCAAGGCAATATTAAGCATCTTCCACTAAATGAGACAGTCATGTCAGGAAATACACAGTATGCCATCTGGCATGGCAACTACACACTAGATCTCAGATACATTATCACACCAGATTTTCCTTTCTAGTCTTTTCCAATCTGGTATCTTCTGTATATTGCAGAGCATCAATTTTAGGGGACACAGCTTTTACCAGGTAGGCATGCTGCATGCCCTGCTCATTCCCATGATATTCATCCACCAATTATTTCACCTGTATTTTAGGTTTGATGTATGGTATAAAACCACTTGAGGAGCTTAAAGTGATGGTCTTGGATCATGTCAGTCCATTATTGGGAGAATATGGGTTGGGGGAGGCAGGAAGATGTTCTGTGTAATCAACCAAGTATCCTTTTCTCAGACTTGTTAGAGCCATTGGCTTTTTTATCCTGGCTGGATGGAAAATGAATTCAGTGTGTTAATGGATTCATGCCTCTAAGAACCAGGGTTTTTTTCAATGGGGCCCCAATGCTTTGGATTTTTTATCTCCCCAAAAAGGTTTGTGCAATTTCCCTTTTTCTGTATTTCAATTATGTAAGTTAGCTGGAATTTATTTTCCAAAGAAAGGTGCTTTAGATAAGGGGTCCCTAACCCCTGGTCCATGACCCTAAGCCTTTTGGAAATGGGCCGTGGAAGTGGTGTGTAAGCATGGAACATCCCCTCTCCCCCTCCCCCCTGTCAATCCTCAAAGCCGGAAAGATTAGGGAACTATGCTTTAGATCAGTGTTTCTCAACCTTGACAATTTTAAGGCATGTGGACTTCAACTCCCAGAATTCCACAGCCAGCAATGCTGGCTGTGGAATTCTGGGATTTGAAGTCCACATGCCTTAAAATTGTCAAGGTTGAGAAACACTGCTTTAGATGTTGTTGTTGTTATTTATTTATTTATTTATTTTGCATGTTTACTTGCTATTTTTATTGTGGAGCAGGACTTTCATGACATGGAAATTCCAGATTTCTACCATTGGTGCAGAGACTCTTCCTGAACAATGATTAAGTTAGATTTAAGTTAAAGATAATCAGAAGATGGGGAAAGGCCCTGTTGTCTACTGCATCCAGAATTTATCCAACCTTGATCTGTCAGTTTTTGTCACTAGATTTTTTTTTCTTTTGTAAAGCTGTATGTATCATTAAACAGAGAACTGTCTTTAATGTACAGAAATAACATGAGATGTGCATCTTAAAATCCATTTAAATATCAAGAAAGCAGGAAGATTTTTCATGGTTTTGGGGGGTGGGGTGGCAAAGAAATATCCCATTGTTTGTTATCTGTGCTTGTGACACCATTCTTCAGATATGTAATATGGAATGATATAGTAATTATAGACCAATTTGGGATCATGGAGATTTCTGGGTAATGATTATACAGATTTTTAATTACAGAGAGCTGTTTTATAAGTGGATGCCTCTGAACTTCCAATGTATCTCTTCAAATCTACCACAGTAACTGCAGCTCACTTCTCCCAAAAACGGTTTTTGCAGGCTTTTATAGAAAATGTTTCTTTTATAGGACCAAAGGATTTACTTTATCTTCAGTTCCCTTCCAAGGTATCCCCTTGATTATACCAACATACTGTACCCAGTATAAAAATGTTCCTATGAGGAATCCAATTGATACTTTACTAAATTTACCTTAGTGCCAAACCTCTGCCTCAAAAGAAAGACAAACAATGATTGGTGTACATGTAGAAATCTAATAACTTTGAAAAGCAAAAATTGAGAAGCTTTTTTAAAAGAATATTCAATAATCCATATTGAAGCCCCCACATTTCCAAAAATGCACACAATGGTTATTAGTTATTTGAGTTTCCTCTGGGATATTCCTTTTTCCACTGAGTTATAACAGTGGGACGGAAGAATTCCCATTTTGAAATGTTTACAACTGTATGATGAGTTAGCAAGAATAAATTATCACTCTAAAAGCTGAGTCAGGGTTGAAGACGTACAACCAGGATCAGAAGAAGTCATTTGCTTGAGTGGAGAAAACAGAGGATTGATTTTATTCTACCTTCTTAAGGCAATCTATCCCTTAACCTGATGAATAGGGGATTTAAAACAATCAGATTCCACTTTTACCAGAGGGAAACATAGTATGCTGTCTTTCCCCTTTTATTTCCCATACACTTCCTCCTATTCAGCTAGAACATATGACATCATTCCCTATACAGTTATAAGTGGTAAGTACATCTGAGCTGCTGAATTATGGTCAGTATCATTAAAATTGGACTGTGTGCCACTTAGTTGCCTATAGCCTACAGCAAGTGTTGTGTACTAAAGGAGAATATCCACCTAGAAGAGAAGAAAATACACTAGACACACCACGTAGGAAATAGCTGTGTTCCTATGCAAAGAAACTTTTAATTTATGAAAATATAGCCATGTCTCCAAAAATAAAAACTTCATAAAAGTGCAACAAAGCAAACCTCCCCTAGACACACTTTATTACTTAGTCAGGTCCATATTTCCCAAATTTCTTTGAAGTCACTACCCACCTATGTGTACCCCACCAGCCTCAGTGTGTTAGGGAAAGTCTTCCTCATCCCCATACATTTCTCCTGGTCAATGAAAAGTGAATTGGCTTTGACAGCAAGGTCGTGTTCCAAATTGGCTTTGGTGTGTAGCAGTGTCTGGAGAATATCTTCAGCATCTCTCAGTCTTTGTTGCAGTCCCTGGATTGTATCATCAATTTCGTATACTTCATTCACAAGGCTAAGTGGGAAGAAAGCAGGGAAGGGTATTAATACATTATTTTTGTGCTTTAGGCTTTTCACCTTTTTTTCTTGTCAAAAATTCACCCGAAATACTAGTTTATTTGCTGAGGGAGATAGATGGTTTAGAAATATGAAAAATAAATAAATAGATAAAATGAGGTGCATCAGAAATAGAAGCATGCTTTCAAAAGTCACATACCAAATGATGCATTCTGTTTAAAAATATATACAGGAAAGTTATATTTCAAAGAATTTCAAAAATACCAAATTGGGGTACATGTATTACATTTCAAAAAGCTTGCATTAGGTGACATAGTGTAAGTTAAAGAAAGCTGCATATGGAAAACTCCAGGTTAGGGAAAGCTGCAAACTTTTACAGATTAAAAATACTGCTTTGAAAAGCCTTTATCATTATTATTAAATACAAAGTATTTGTATTTACATAATATAATGTACTGTGTAAATAGCTATGCAACAAATCCTACAATACTCAATAACTTTTTGCTTAGCATACTAGCTTTTCACAAGGACGTCTCCCCAATAAATTGGCCATTTATTGCTCTCAATTGCATAAGAGTTACACTTTTTTCCCCCCATGAAGCCAGTGAAACAAAATTGTTTGAGAAAGAGTCAGTGTGACAAAGCAGCATTACTTAGGGGGAAAATGAGAAAAGAATGGAAAATTGTGGTTTCCTGTTTGCATACTAGTGTTTTCGCATTTTCTCTTTTATATCAGTTCAAGTGACTGGGCAAAACGAACTCTTCACTCAGAATATCTGAAGGATGAAGAAAAAGCAGAACAGATGCTTTCAAAAGGCACTCTAAGGTGCAACTTGATTTCTAGCTAGTGAACCAAATGGAAAAGGGAACCTAGAATCTCCATGAAATGTTACAGAAACAGTGTGCTTAGTCTTGTTTCCTGTTGCCCGTTGTAGCTGATATTAGGAATTCAGAGGAAGTGTGCATGAGGAAGATTTTTTTTTGCCATCGTTCCTGAAGAGAGCCAGCTGGTCTATAACTGATTGACAATTCATTCACAAATTCTATCCAATCAGAAATGTCAAGTAAGCTAACTATTAGGGTTTGGCCTTTGAAGAACAGTTAAGAGTCAGACTAAGTCAGTTGTACTTAGATATTATGGGTATCAGCAGGTCGTCAATTTGTGACCAAAATCATACTCTGGGTATACCTCTATTTTAATTCTGAGTTTGCGTCTGATTCATACTGTGCAAATTTAATTGTGAAATTAAAATAAGAAAAGCTGTTAAACAGAAAATCAAACTCTCACTGACTGATAATTGAATGAACTGAATTAATGTTGTACATGAATCTGAAAGGCTAAATATATGTGCAAATTAGAAAAAGTTATTAAAAGCAGACATGGAAAGGGCGAAGCAATACTGTCCCAACTCCTCTTTATTCAGTTTCCTAGGTGGTTCCAAGGGATGAAAGGAAAGTTCTCTTAGGCTCCAGGTCAAGCCTGTCGCATGAGTCTTCCCCCCATCTTCCTCATTGCAATATTACACTTCAGAGTGGCTACATTCAAGGGAGGAGACTTTTTTTAGGATGTCTGAATTGCTGTCAGGGAAGAAAGTCAGTTCTGGTGCTTACGGGCAGAGTAGTATCAATCCAACCAGCAACAAAATGTCAGCAAAGAGTTAGATTTCTCTACTGCTTTGCTTTCATCCAATGGTTGCCCTAAGAACCAGTTTGATACAGTAATTAAGTAATTTGATATAGTAATTAAGGCAGCAGTCTAGAAACCTGGAGACCATGAGTTCTAGTCCCACCTTGGGCACAAAGCCAGCTGGATGGCCATGAGCCAGCCTCTGTTACTGTATCCTAGCAGGAAGGCAATGGAGACTCACTTCCAAAATCTTGCCAAGAAACTATGCTGTGGTTTCTCTGTGGGTTGCGTGCTGGCTCTGCAGTTGATTATGTTTTTTTTTAAAGATTGAACCCCAGTTGAATTTGGGGTCCCTATATTTGTTCCACTGGCTCTTTCCTCCAAACTAGCATAATGTTTAGCTTGGTCATGGGCCAGGTTTAGTAGTAGCCTTCCCTTTCTGCCCTTAAGATATACGGGACTACAATTTCCATAATATTCACTTAGTATTGAAAACAGGTTGGGAGAGGTTGTTCTGCAAAAAATATGCACTAAATATTACAGATGCCTTTGGTAGGGTTCTTTTTTAAACCAGGAAACCAACAACCCAGGAGATGGGTGGCTGGTTCTTGTAAGTCCTGGAGTTAAGTAAGTCCTTAAAGTTATACTGAGAGATATTCAAAGGATCTGAAGCCACAATAGAACATGGGACCATGTATTTCAGAGGATTCTGGATTTTTTACAGGGACGTTCCTCCAGAACATTATGCTCCAGAACAAAGAAAAAATATGTTCAGCTCCTTCTTGCCCTAAGAATGTATTGTTTTGTGGCTAGTTGATTAGTATATTTCATCAAAATGTGTCCCTGAGCAGTCTTTAAACATGCAAGCTTGTACATGAAAAATAGAGAGGAATGAGAATGTGATAAAGGGAAAGAATTGAACCACTAATTGTACTCTATATGCTTTGTATGAAGAAAGCTCTAGGCTTCATGCCTATTGAACCTCAGTAAAAGGGATCAGATAGAAAATAATGTGGGATTAATCTGGAGAGCAGCTCTTAATCAGATAATATAGTTAAATTACATACATACATATATACAGTAGGATGGCCTGATTAAGACACTTTTTCAAAGGTCTGCCAACTTTGCTGTTTATAAACACTTTTTATTTATCTAATCCTTCCCCTTCCCCTTCCCCTCCCTCTTCCTTCCCTCCTTCCTTCCTTCCTTCCTTCCTTCCTTCCTTCCTTCCTTCCTTCCTTCCTTCCTTCCTTCCTTCCTTCCTTCCTTCTTTCCTTCTGATAATCCGATAACAAGGGTAGAGGATCTTGATTTCCCTTACCGTAATTGGGCAAAATCTCGGCAAAGTTCTACGTTCGGTCTACGTGTGCGTTCATCCAGGCGAGTCTGGGCAACTTTCAAAGGGGGTCCTTTTTCCCGAATAGCCTTCCGAATCGCTTCTATGGTCATCTCTGTATCAAAGATTTCTTGAAGAGTCTACAATTTGGTAAAATAAGGGGAAGGGTTAGAAAATAAATAATGATATTTACATGTTTCTTTAATACACACTATAATGGTTCCCCAGCCCCAACTGCATCTTAGTTCTGTAAGACAATATAAATCCAGCCAGTGACTGCTGCATTAAATCAACCAATTCTGACCTTTTTTGCCACTAGATAAGTTTTAAAGCAAAAAATAGGGAAATTATTTTTTTATATAATATTTTTTTATTTTTCCAAACTCTCCCCCATACATATACTGTGATATTTATCAGATACATTCTTTTTACATTCATATATAAGATACTTTTAATAAAATGAAATAAATACATACACATGACTTTTGGTGTTGCTCGCCCATTTCCCCTTTCACTGTATCCTCACTCCTTCTCTCTACCTACTTTCTCCCTTTCTTCTCTTCCCTACTTCCCTCTTCTTCCTCTTCTCTTTCCTTTCCTTCACCACTCTCCTCCCCTTTCTCCCCACTTCTCTTCTCCTCCAACCTTCCTACTTCCTTCTCCCCTCCTTTACTGTTTTCTCTCTCCTCTCCTTTCTTCCCTCTCATCCCTCTTCAGATATAATTCAGGGGTAATGTCCGAGCAACTCCTCTCTCCAAATTTCTCTATCTGTATTATATACAATGAGATTAATTTTCTCTTATATTAATACTTCTATTTATCTAACCTTCTCGATATATACCTCTATAAATATTTATACAAGCTCCAGTTATTCAATACTGTGTCGCCTGGGTCTCCCTCCTAAAATAGGGAAATTATTGAATGCATAGAAAGTGATTATTATAGTAAATAACCAGATCTTGAAATGAAATTCAAATCTTGTTTTGCCTGGTCCTCGCTGATGCTGGGCCTGGCAAATGCCTTGCCCAATCTCAATCAACAGAACAGCCATCCAAATGCTTCTCCCATCCCTGCAAAAGTTGTGCATTACAGGAAAGACTGATAGAGTGTGACACTGCAATAAATATCTCCCTATCCTATCTGGCAATACTAGGTGGTCATGTCTTTCGCAATGCATCTGCGGGCCCAAGGCTATTTTCAAGGAGAATCTAATATTTCACAGGGGGGGGGCTATCCCAACAAAAAGCTTTCATCAAGTGTCTCTTCTACAGCGAATGGGGAGAGGGTGGCCACTACAAGTAACGGAAAGTTACATCACTTATGCTGGGGAAGCAGGCAAAAACAAAAAAAGAACCGCTATCCTTTGCTTCTCAGAAATCATGAAAGAGGGAGAATTAACAGTATGTTAAACATGCAAGAACGCCCTCACAGTTGTAGAACCGTTGGCCTAGGGAAACATATAGCCTGTGGAAATTGTTGATAATCCAGTAAAGTCTCCAGAGAGATTCTAGTTTACTCTCCTCTATCATCTTGTGAGAAAGAGGGAATCTTTCTTTAGGGCATAGGCTAACTCAAATCTCTAGTGACTTCTTCCTCCCTCACTATGCCCTGGGAGAAAAAAATGCCATTCAACTGGGGGGGGGGGGAGGAATTGAAAACAACAATCAGCTCTATCAGCTGTAGCAACCCCTCTTTGCAAACCATCTCTGCAGGGAGCTGCCAGTGGAGATTAAAGTGTTACATGTCATTGCAAAGTTAAATAAAATTATAAAAAAGGGAAGGCTGTTTAGGAAAGCCATGGTGCAATTCTGACCTGAAATTCTGAACTCTGAAATTCTGAAATGTGAAAATTACTGAGAATGAGTTAACTAATGTGCAGGTAATTACTGAGAATGAGTTAACTAATGTGCAGGTAGTCCTTGATGTATAACCACAATTGAGCCCAACATTTCTATTGCTAAGCAAGGCAGATATTAAGGGAGTTATGCCTCACTTTACCACCTTTTTGCCACAATTGTTAAGAGAATCACTTCAGTTGTTAAGTGAATCATATGGTCCCACCCCATTAACTTTGCTGGGAAGGTTACAAATGGTAGCCACATGACCACCATTCCCCCCAACTGTCATAAATATATGCCAGTGACCAAGTGCAGAATTTTGATCATAAGTCACTTTTTCAGTGCCACTGTAATTTCAAATGATCACTAGATGAATATTTGTAAGTCAAGGACTATCTGTAAAGTTTTAACCACAAATCAAGAGCAAAGCAGAGGCTTCCGATCATGACTTTTGATAATTTATTCTGGGCTAGAAACCTGCATGCATTTTTTTAAAAAAAAGTTTAATCGAAGCATCTGAAGAGCCACTTTGCTGTGGCAGCTAAGGCATTAGGCCAGAAACCAGGACACCATGAATTCTAATCTCACCTTAGACATGAAGCCATCTTGGTGACCTTGGACCATATTCCTCTAAGATTTGTTTTATTTACATTCATCACTACCCACAGACTTTCAAAGCCAGATGCGAATCAGTGATATAATAAGAATACAATAACACTAAGAGCAACTTTGGTGACAAGATTGAGGCATTAGGCTAGAAATTGGGAGACTGTGGGTTCTAGTTGTGCCTTAGGCACAAGGACTGCTGGGTGACAAGCCCCCCCCCTCTCTCTCTCTCAGCCCTAGGAAGCAGGAAGCAGCCAAAAAACAACAAAAACCTCTTCTGAAAACTGAAGAACACTTCAGGAGCTTATCCACCAGGAGTCAAAAACTGACTTGAAGGGACTTAAAAAAAAAAAAAAATCAAAGGATTTACATATACAGATCTCATTGACTTCAAAAGAGAACATTTAGGTAAAGATAGGTGACTGCTAAAAATTTGAAACAGCTAAGGTCTGGTCTGTGATTTAAGTTATTATAATTGCTTGTAGATGGACTTTCTCTGGTTTTCCATTGTCTGGAACTTGCACAAATCCCTTGCACCAATTAGCGGGTTTTCTCTTTTCCATCACCGATTAACTGCTTTAGCAACTTGAAATGCCCCCATTTTGTCATTTTGGAATAGTTGGCCAGCTGGAAATGTTTATTTATTAGTTTATTTATATTTCATGTTTCCAGACCACTCTCAAGGGAAGTTTTATGTATATGTTATAGGTTATATGTATAATGTATATGTTATATGTTTATTTATCTTACTGAAAAAAAGAAGCACACAAAGCAGAGATAAGAGACACGAGAGCAGGAGGGTAATAGAAGACTTATTTTGGCACTCTCTCCATGACTAACTGAAGAGGATGTTGGTGAAGTTTGGCAAGAATTGCATCAGTTGGTGGTGACGACATCTTAGCTTATAGCTGGACTGGTTCTAAGATTGAAGATGTTACTTGGATAAGCAGCAAAATGTTTCAAACCAGAAAAGAAGTGCAGTTGCCATGACCAAATTTCCAGACAACTCTATCTGGATAACTGAGAATCTTCACTGACATACTGGGATGGAGATATTTACATGAGATCAGAATATCTGCAGAAATCCTTGTGCAATTTCTGCAATAAACCACAACCACTGAGAAAGGCACTGTAGAGTTCAAGTTGTGAAATTGATCTCACCTTAGCCAGATGAGCCTGAATCTTATTTTTGGCATCAGCAGTTTCAGAGATGCGGTTGGTAAAGGCAACATTTGCTCTGTTAAATTGGTTCCACATCTCATTGGCAGTCACCACAAGCAAAGTTTCAATATCATCCCTGAGCTTGGAAGAGGCAGCCCGCTCACTCTGGGAGCGCAGAATGTTATCATCAGTAAATTTGGCCCAGGATTCTGGCACTGAAATCCTGGGAAAGTAGAAGAGACAAACAAGCAATTTGTAAATAGTTATGTGTGGCTCTTTCTTGAAACTAATTCTGGATATAAAGGTGTCCCAGTTACGTTTGCAACATTTGAGATGTTTAACAATTCCATCTGTGGTGTTTGGACATCCCATTTTTAAGCAAGTCTTAATTATTTTTTTCCTCTGTGAGAAAGAAGGGAGAGGGGAGGAGTGAAGGAGTAGGAGAGATGTGAATGCAAGAAACTGAAGTATAACTGCAGTCAGAAATGCTGGTGTTGTGGTCAAGCCTGCCAAAATCTAGCCTCCTCCACAAATATTAATTCATTCACCACATGTATTGCTTTTAAAAAAAGGAGGGGGAGGTATAATTCAGTAATCATCATCTTATATACTGTTTAGTATTCTGGATATTCTTAAATGAGCATGAAGAAGCATTTTATAATGGTGGATTGTTCCATTTTATTGTTCCAACTTTCTGACTGGAGGGGAATTTTTCTGGAGCACAATCTGATATTACAAATGGAATAGGTGGAAGGTGGTGCTGGTTCTGGTGCCAAATATTTTTCTGTATTTCCAGTATTTTGTAATTTAACTCCCACTAATTCAGCCAGCATTTTAGCAGAAATCGTAAGAAAGGCACCAGCTTGTCTATCTTTATAGCTTGTAAAAGCCTTTGCAACAATTAGAGCAAAGGAAGGCAATTGCCTTTGTTACAGAGGCTGAAGATAGTCTTTGTTCAACTTATATGAGCTAGGTTGAATTGATATGTTTCAGAGACATCCACTTTTTAAAAAGGAGAAGTTGAAAGTCCATTTTTTTCTTATGCATGGAGAAGAGCTACTCATTACAGAATAATGCAGGAAGCCATCATCCCCATGTTGTCTTGGATTGATCAGGTGTTTTTTCTGATGAAAAACAGGCATGATGATGGGCATGGGAAAAGATGTTTTTCATTTTTACTGAGCAAAGAAAGCATGAGACCCTGGAATCCCTCTAGCTTTCCCAATAGGAGCAGGCACACATTACTCAAATGGGTAAAGGGCAGGGCAACTGGCAACACTAAAGGAGAGATGGGAGTTTTGGAGGAGGGGATGATCCAGTGGACCAAATGAGCTGGCCTGCCAGAGGAGGTCAAGCTTGAAGGTTAGAGTTCCCCAGTCCCATTGTGCTCCTAATGCACTTCTAGAGAATAAAGCATCAGGTGATGAACTAATGTCACCTCAACATACTATTTGGCTCTGGAGAGAAAAAGTAATACCATCAGATAAGAGGTATTAACCATGAAGTTATTAAAGGATGAGCGATCATATGAAAATAAAGTTTACATTTCTGAAAAAGTGATGTTTATACTTTTTTTATATCTCTAGGGTTTGTATTATAGACTTATATAGACAAGAGACTCATCTATAAAGTTACAGATATTTCAACTTTGCATCAGCTGTATCCTCAGCTAAAATAGAATTGAACTCTGTACACCTGTTTAAGGAAATAGCCCTTGGGTTTCTGTAATGAACAAGAAGGGGTGCATGTCACTGAAGGTGGCATACAAAGGAGTCTCCCCTCCTTTTATTTTGACAACAACCCTGTGAAGTAGCTCAGAGAGACTGAATAACTCAGAGTTATCTATTGAGTGGCAAGTCTGAATTTCTGTGGTCCACTCAAGGCTCCATTCAACACTTACGTAGCATCAAACCGCTCTACACCTCGAAAATAGCCAATGCCATCAGATGTATTCCTGAGATTGTGACATTTGTCATCAATTCGGTGAGCTGATTGCTTGTCACTCAAGTCTTTCTCCAGCTCATGCTGGGCTGATCTATCAGCTCTGTAGTGAAATGAGGGTCAGAAAGTAAACTAAGATTATAACTTTTGCAAAGAAAATCATTAACCTTCTTAAACTCCTTTATCTCATAATGATGACAAACTGAGTGTTAAAACAAAACCAGAACATACACATATACACACACACACATACATACATAGTTTAAAAATCATTGTATTCCAAAGGCTAGAAATGAACAAAACCAGCCAACAGTGCTCACCCAAAAGTTTGGGGGAACAACTGAGCATTTAAAGGAAAGATCATCAGGGTCAGGGCTATCTGGATCTCCAGGGGGATGTCCATAGGGTAGACACTGTGACACAGAAGGCATAACTCCTAGGTCCCATGAGATGGCACTGCCTAGGAATCCTAACAGAAAGGAGCATGCCCATCCATTTGCTAGGGCATGCAAAGACAAATAGTTGGCCCTGCAAATAGGGCATGCAGAGATAGGTGGTCCTGCAAATGGCCTAGCCCTCCAAGTAGAGTTTTATAGGTGACAAAAAGCACTTTGAATTTCACTGGGAAGCTGACTGAAATCCAGTGCAGCTCACAGAAGAGAATTACAGCAGTATATTGTGAAATGTTCCAAATAACCTAGGTTGCTGCATTCCAGATCAGTTGCAGTGTCTGAATGCTCGTCAAGGGAAGTTCCATATATAGGACATTACAGTAATCTAACTCAGGTCCAGCTAAGGTATGAATCACTGTGAGTAGGGGGTACTGCTACCTGTTTTAAAAGGGACAGTTAATTTCCCTCTCCTCCAGGGCTATCACTGGACCCAACAGAACTGGACAATTTTAGCCCAGCCTCTCTGGCCCTTTTCAGTAGATACATCATGCACACATATTCTACTCTAAGAGCTAGAGTTTTATAATGCTGGATTTCTCTTGCCCAAATTGCATATTTTGCACCATGAGTCATGTGTAGTTATCTAGAAGCAAGTGTGGTGGTTGGTTGAGTGTATTACTAGGATCCACTTTCAATTCCCATCCTCACCACATCTCTGACTTTCCTATTTTAGGGGAGATCTCAGGGCATTCTACTCACATCTAAGGGAACATTAGCAGAAATTTCTGGGCAGTCAGGAACCCAATTTTATTGCAGATTCATATCATCCAGTGGCTTTTGCTTATTTTCATATAAAAGCAAATCAAGCCCTCTTCTTCAGCTTCCTCTGCTCATTACTAGATAGATGTGAATGAGAAGATGGGGAAGTTGAAGATGAGTCTTGTTCACATTGTCTTCTCAGCTTTCAGAGAGCAGGTTGATTGTCTGAATAGAGTTGACTACACACAACTAAAAATGAATCTCTGAGACACTGACTATCCAGACAAAAGACTTAGATTGAATCAACACAAGACTCTCAATGCTGATCCAAAATTGAAAAGAAGAATTTTATTCATATTTTCCCAAATGGTGAAAATCATTTCCATGGAGAAGAGGAAGAGAAGTTATAAATAGCCATGAGTCTTGGGTCTGAATAAAGGTCAGAAAAGATTATCTTTCTTTTATTTTGACTTTATGACATTATGAAGGACTGGAAACAGATTGGCACCTGCTAATTTATTAGGCATTGCTATAGGCCGTTGAGACATAAAGTGCTTTTCAAAGACCTCCAACATTTACCTCTGTGTCTGTTACCAATACTGTATATTTAGAATCCAGTTTTATGACTCCTACAAATTTGGTTTCTTTATGATCTTGCTAGAGAAGAAAGCCATGAGCATATAGGAAATGATTCTCTCTATCAAGCTGTGCTATGGAGAAATTGATCAGGTGGTCACCTTAGAATTTATTTCTAAGGGCTTTTTAAAGGAAGTTGAGATTAAATGTTTTCTTACGCAAGCTGGGCCATTGACTTATCCAAGTGTCTTCTCATTCTCTCTTGGCATGAATGGATGACATCAATCTCCTGGCCAAGTTAGAAAAACAAAAACTCTATCATATATTTCCAGGGATTAGTAAAAATGTTCAGATTTATACATTTTGCAAAACACCCCTATTTGTCCTCTTTGTTCAAAGTGGAAGATACATCTCTAGTCCTCCAGGGCCGTCTTTTTTATTCAGATTTTGGTCACCATTCCTAGGGCCTTGCAAATGACATAACTTTGGATATTACTGGATTTGGCAGGATTAAGATTTTAACCTTGTTTTGAGAGCTTCTGCAAAGCATTGTGAGAATAATCTTAAGAGACAGGAGGAAGAGCTTCAGCTTAGACGATGGCCGGATAAACAAAACCTGAGTCCAATGGAGGGATGGAGGTGGAGAAAGCATCTCAAAAGGGAACTTTCCTAGTCTGGAAAGTAAAGACCCGGGAGAGGGGAAATAGTTTCAGATTTGCAAGATTCAGTCTCTGTAGCCTAACTACCAGGACGCCATGATTTTGGTGTACTGTCTGCACTACTTTGAAGGGCTGAGAGCTGGGTTGGTTTCTGTAAGATGCCAGGTAGATATGTTTTCTCATTTGAAGACTTAAAACAACAATTTTGGGGGAATATGTGATTTTTTAAGAGATACACTAACACATTCAAGACATCCATATTGGTCCTAAATCTTATCCCAATGTATAAAGACTTGAATATTTGAGCCCCATCTATTCTGGAAGTATTTGAGAGCCTGCATTGGCAATGACTTCTCCACTAGTACCGTAATAAGGCTTCTTCTTTTTTTTCTGTTAAGACTCTCAAAAGATCTGTTTCAAAGTTGTATTTGTTTGGTGTATATGCAGGTGTGTGTGTGTGTGTGTGTGTGTGTGTGTGTGTGTGTGTGTGTATGTATGTGTATATATATATATATATATATATATATATATATATATATATATATCCTTAATAGTTATAAAAATACGAATCCCGGGCATATTGTTCAATGATGCAATCTTCGATTTCCGGGAAGAGTATACTCCAGTTATTTATTGTTAAAATAACATTTAAAACAATAAAAACAGTTATATACAAGAATTAAAACAACTTAGCTTTTGCTGGTCCTCTGCCAGCGTCCTCAGAGTGGGGCTTAGGGGGTGGGAAGTTCTTTTTATCCCCTTGCTGATCCAATTGCCTACTCATTGCCCTCGTGACAGGGCCACTCTTCCTGATTGCCTGTGACTGCCTTATATATATGTATTGTCCTTAATAGTATTAAAAACACGAATCTTGGGTATACACATAATGTGAAATAAAATAAGGTGATCACCAGGATAAAATCATAAACACAAATGTTTAATTTACAAAACCAAGCTTTCTTCGGCCACACTATCAACATCGTCAGGGTATAATTTATACCCTGACGATGTCGGTAGTGTGGCCGAAGAAAGCTTGGGTTTGTAGATTAAACATTTGTGCTTATGATTTTATCCATGTGATCACCTTATATATGTAACTATATTTTGAAATTCTTTTCAAGAGGCACAATTAATTCCTTATGCAGATAAGGTCTTCAATTGCATAAGAAAAAATTGCAATATTATTAAATATTTAAAAGCCAGCTGAATATATATTGTTTATTTAGGAAATTGAGATTCAGTTTCTCCTTGTTTTTTCCCCCCTTTAGGAAACGAAACAGGTGAGAATTTTATTGTGTGTCATTCTTACCACACTTATGGCAAGATCAAATGCAACCAGCCTTCTTTGTAGAATTCCCACATTTTCTCACCACTTCCGTGATTTTTGCTTACCATCGACAATCGATAGGAAGGAAAAACAAGAAATATAAAATAACTGGACAGCGTCTTCTGACTTGTAGTGTTGGGAATGTTCCACCTGAAAGTTCACTTTGCACATCGAAATTTGTCCTGTTCCAATTCCTTTCTTGCTTACACTTTGTAAAAATGGTCAGTTATGAATATTGTTTTCATTTGCCTGAAATAACTAACCAGGGAATCAAAATATAAATGGCACCTGCTCAGTTTTTAATAATTTATGTGAAAAGACAAAAGACTGAATAAAGAAAGCACATCCTTTGAATATATTTGAAGAAAGGAAAAGAATTTCAAGCAGAGAAAAATGGCTCTGTTTTTCTCTTTAAAGGTATTCCTGCAACTGATTTTATTCAAGTAAAAATGTTTCTAACTTTAAATAAGCCAGGGGCTTTTAGATAAGATGATCATAGTGTCATAGAATTATAAGGCTGGAGGGACCTTGGAAGTTTTCTAGTCCAACCCCCCACCCAAGGCAGGAATCCTTACACCATCCTGGACAAATGGATGTCCAATCTTTACTTTAGACCAGAGTTCATAAGTTTGGACTTTGCTATAAAGGCATCCTTGAAGGTATATCTATTTTCAACTCCATCTATGGACTTATCTATTATCTTACCTTATCTATCATCTATATACAAATTCCATAAATTCCAAATTCTTATTCAACTAATCGTTTCTGGTTGTTATTGCAGTCCTTTACCTGACTGCAGTTCCTTGTTGCTATTATTAGTCTCTCATTAATTTGAAGAAAGATAAAGAGTAAATAAGTAGTCTGTGGAATTTTTGACCCATACTTTATAAGATAGACTCTGGCCCACAAACTATTCTTTCTTACATCCACTGGTCAGCTACATACCCCCACTGACCCATATATCATTTTGTTTTGATTTAGTTTCTAGAAACATTTCACTTCAATGTTGATATCCACATGCCTTTGGTCCAGGCAATAGCAAGGGACACACAATGATCAAGGACTTAATTTTTTTCAAGCCATCCCCCACCCCAGATTAAAAATCCAACTTTCTTTTGGGTAAAAGCATTCTCTTGATTGCTTTGGGTGGTAAGTTAACAGCATTAACAAACAGGTATTGTGTTTTGGAATTTTTCAAAAAATATGAATAAAATGGATAATGTAATTGGCTGGTCCAGATGTTCCTGACTCTCATGAAAACTTTTTCATGAATTATGATCTTTGATCGAGAACACCGGCAAAAATTGTGCACAGATTAAAGCTTTGGCTCAGCTCTTAATATGTGACAAGGGGTCAGTGTTATATGGAGAAGTTTGTGAGCCAGAATCTGGGGCTCAATATTATCTAACAAGACCAGAACCAACGGAAGCTTATAAATGAAGGCTTCAAATTGTATCCGTTCAACTTTAATAATGATCAGAAATAGAAAGGTTAAGATTGTGAGGAACGTCAAGAATTATAGCCCTTAGCTGACAGTTCACATACTAAGGAACATTGGTAGTGGGAGAAAGAAGCTGCTGAAGAAGTAAACACTTGAGAAGGGGAAGCACAAATAAGGAAAGGCCAAGAGGCAGGATGTACAAAGGAAGACTGAGCCAAGAGGCAAATCCAAGATAGCGATGAGACAAGTGAAATGTTTGCTGGGACATTTCCTGACTTCTATAACTTTTGCAAATATCCAGAAACTACTGGAAGACCAGAAGAAATAACTTATTAAATAGTGTAAAGAATCATAAGTATTCCAGGCACAGCATTTCTATGAATTTTCAGTCAAGGAATGATTCTTAAACCAATTGCTTTCCTCTACCAATTGTATGCTTAAAACATGAATATGTGGTATCACAAAGCGTCTCTTGCATTATTTTCCTTTAACAAGCTGTCACTTGTTCACGTCTGTATTTATTTACTTACTTACTTTCATAATTGCCCAAGCCCACAGGCCTTATTTTAGCCACCCTAACTGTGAACTGATCTGAAGGTAACTCTTGAGTAGCTAAGAAAGGAATGGCATGAGCAGTCTCATGTGCTGCAAGACAATATCCATAATTGCCAGACAGGACAGGAGAGATGACATTTGTAGCCTAAAATATCTGAAGACAAAGCAATTTGGGCAAAGTTGCATTCCCAATGAATAGAAAACCATGCAAGCTTAAACTTTGAATGATGAGCACACAATTGGTGCATTTGGGCCAAATATTCTCTCAGCCCAATCTATCTCACAGGGTTATTGTTATGGGAAAAATATGAGGTGGAAGTTATGTTGGATATGTGCACTGACTTGAATTATTTTTTCAAAAATAATAAGGCAGGACACAAACAATTTTTTTTCCCCTTTTCAGGTGTTAAATGAGCTTACGGTCAGCAATTGTTTTTCCACATCATCATGAACAAGATCTATGCCCATTCTCTTCTCTCGGTGAAGGAGGCATTCCTGGGCTACCTAAAGAAGGAGACAAAAAGTTATTGTGTATCTCTGCATTGAGATATTTTAAAAAACTGCTGAATCTGTTCCAGGATTGGAAAGTATGTTGCATATTGAAAAAGCTATTCTTCTCCAACACCTGTATGTCTCTTCAGTGACAGGTATGGCCTTCCTATCTGTCTAATGTGTTTTTTCCAAGTTCTTTCCTTTAGAACCTTAAAAATCTGTATTTGACCATTTCACACAGAATCACTCAATCATCCAATAGCAAACATCGACTTAGGGTTATTCAAACAAACAACAGGAGAGGTACAAAAATGTGAAATATATTTCAATTTATTCATTTATTTAAATATTTAATATTTTATGCATACATTCAAGGATTCAAGGAAGGAAAAAAGGAAGGAAGGGGGAGGGAGGGAGGGAGGGAGGAGGGAGGGAGGGAGGGAGGAAGGAAGGAAGGAAGGAGGGAGGGGGAGGGAGGAAGGAAGGAGGGGGAGGGAGGGAGGGAGGGAGGAAGGAAGGAAGGAAGGAAGGAAGGAAGGGTCACCACAAACAACACTGATAATTGAGCAGCCTTGTAAATATGGAATGTATGGTATAAGGAGAAAATGAAAGGGATAAATATACAATAGAGAAGGAAGAAACGAACTCTGGAGATAATTATTTCTGCTTTGCAGGTTTCAATTTGTGTTCACCTGCTTATCAAACGCAGAGGAAGAATAGTTGCTTTTAAATCACAAATAACTTAACCTACTATTTGCTTAACTTATTAATTCTAGTTGCTTTTTGTGAAGTAGTATAACATTATAGCTTGCTAAATTTTCTACATGGCAAAATATATGAAGATTTGTCTGAATTCAGCAGTTTATCGATCTGCCAAAAGAAAAAAATAAATTCACCGATACTGATTTTTCCCCCCCTCAAAAAAAAAAAAAAAGAGTAAGAACACCATTGCTTTGATTCCTACTGGACTGCTAGTGTCCTCAAAGTCAAGAGGAAATTATATATGGCTAAAGTTGAAATGGAAGCTAAAGATAAGCATTTTACGCCTCACAAAGTACATGAGATACTTATTTATTATGAGAAATGCACAAAACATCTAGACTGCTGCCAAGTGATCTAAAATAATTTTACTGGAATCTAAGAGGGCATTTAAACATCTGAAGCACAGCAGGTATCACTGAAATATCAAATATGTTATCAGTGGATTTGATCGGTTTACCTGAAGGGGCCCTTCAGTTTCTACCAATGCTCTTTCTAGACGTTTCTTCATTTCTGTAAGAGCATTTGTCTCTCCAATCATTCCGTCTATTTCATGGTTAAGCTCTGTTTTCCAAAATACAATATCATTGACTCGCTCTCCTATATTTTTGGTTGTTTCTGTTTGGGTTTTCCGTGTCTGTTGATCCTTATCCTGGATCATCCGGGAAGTATCCACTCTCATTTTCTCAGCATTATGCCGTGATGCTTCTGATTCCTTGTAGTTGGTCAGGTTTGTTCTGTACCAATCATCAGGAGAGTACCTGCTAAAGAGTGCTGTTCGGTTGGACACAAAGGGGAGCATGTTGCTTGCGGTGACCCCATGAGAACTCTTGGAAAATGGTGCTAAAGTCGGAGTGATAGCAGCAACTTTATAGTAGGTGCTAGGTCTCCAAGGAAGACTCAGGCTGTGAGTTAAAGAATAATGAGGGAATCGATTCTTATAACTTGATGCCATAGTGCTGATGGCTGGCAGAAAATTTGATGGTGTTGGTCTTGGATGGGCATAGGTAGCTGTCAAGGTAGAACCTACGAGCTCCATTATGGTGAAAATATATCCAGTCAGGTGTCCTGCACCAACAAAAGGAAACATAGAAATGTTTGCAAGAAACTCCCACTTAAACACAATAAACTCAAAACCCAGTTGGCAAAGGCTGCTCATTACATGCTGTTGATTCTTGAGTATTATGAAAAGGTTAAGCAATGATCTGTTCTTTAAATTTATTATTGTTAAACTTGGATTTCTGTTGCAGACAACTCTAAAAATAGCTCTTTAAGATGTATAGCTTTTTGTATCATAAATACTTATTCAGGAAATGTTGCACTTCAACTCTCACGTTTTTGTAAAATTGGCCCACTAATAAGTGGCAGATACTCTTAGACTGCTGTAACAACAACAAAATACCCTAAACTAACTTTCCTTATGGGAATATACCATCATAAGTATGTTATGATAAGTAATTCATTGTGTTTCTCTTAATTAATGTCTCAGCTCATTTGCTGTTCTTTCAGATGAATCTTTGAAAAGTCCAACTCCATATAAATCTTTGTGGCTGCATACCATGTACAAATTTCATACTGAACCTTCATTTTTAGACAAATTCAGAATTTGTATGGAAAAAATGTGTTAATGGATGTATGACTTTACTGATTATGGGATGTGAAGAAATGAGCCTTTGTTCCAGACTCATTGCCTGGTTTATGTCTACCATTTTAGAGTTTCTGAGAAGAAATGGATTGAATATTGGATTTAAATGGTACAAATTCAAGTTCAAATCCAGGGATTAACCATGAACTTTACTAAGTAGTCTTGGGAACCATAATCCTGATCTAACTCTTTTATGAGTTGATCGTACATCTAAAGCGCTGTCAGACAAATAACTAAAGAATTACTCAATAAGAAATTAAAGATAGCACAATATGGTCAATTGCCTCATTGACTAAGGTAGGCAAGACAAATATTTTGTTTCATCCTGCAATTGAATATGTGAATGTCAGTGGCATGTAGCCAGTAACCTTAAGAAAAAAGATCACCCAAGGTCAGTTCTTTGACAGTGTCTTTTTAGAATCAGAGTAGTAACACTTTTGAAATAGTATTGAAAGCTTATCTTGGAGACAGCAATCATAAGAAAGATTGTTGGTTCAAATAACCCAAGCTAAGTCAGTCCATTGTCCTTTTCAGTTAGGCTTATTGTCTGCTGGAAACCTAATATTCCTGACCATCTAATGTAAATACCTGGCTGGTACATAACCCACAGTTCAATAACAAATACAAAAGATTCTCCTGAGCTGAGGAAACTTTACTGCAGCTGCAAGAACAGAAGAGAAGTAAAACCAAACCATTTGATTTATCAGACAGACAATAAAGATGGCAGCTAAAAATGGGCATCACATGCTGACAGAGGCTTTGTTGGGGTTATTCATCCCCTCATGTTGCACATTAGGTTTTTTTACTGCCATTCTAACAAACATTTGCCTTTAATGCAATAGCACTACAGTAATTGACATTTAATTCTGCACATCTTTGAAATATAATACCTCCTTTTTAACAATACCCAAATTCACCACTTTTCCATTGGACTCAGTGGGCATCTGTTATTTACCCTCCAGAATTACAAAATTAAGACAGGGAGCATTGCTTGTTGTTTTTTGCCAAGCTGTTTCTGAGCTTCTTTGCTGCTTTCTTATAAACTACAACATCTTCAAGCAGGATTTCTTTGTATATAGGGATGGAGGGGTGAGAGAGATGAGGAATGAAGTTTCCCTCTCTCTCAACTACTCTGGTCAAATTTGTTGGTTTCCCATAGCCTGATTAACCAACATCCTGAAAAATAGGTTCTTGGTGGAAAAAGGGGAATTTCTCCTTCTTTCTACCAGCTTTTCCCTTCAACATAAAGAAAGGAAGAAGAATAGAAAAAGAATAAATATATGTGTGATGTTTCTGTTTTTGTGCGAATGTATATGGAATTTCAGATCCCTAACTTGATAACTAATGTGATATTTTCAGCTGAAAATAAGCCCATCTAAACATTGAGGGGAGAGGGGAACCCTACTCTTAATATATCCAGACCTAAGGAGCTTGTCAGCCAGTTTGGTATACAGTAGTGGGTGACCTTGAGCCAGTCACTGTCCCTCAGCCCTAGGAAAGAGGCAATGCTAAGCCAGTTCTTGCCAAGAAAAATGCAGGGACTTTCCCAGGTTATCAACAATACTAACCCCCAAAGAATAAATCAAACAAAAAGTGAGTCTGTCAAATAAGCTTTTGAAACAACTTCTAGCAAGCATGTTCATAAGCCTCCTAACAGCCTGATATTGTGGGTCATGTGATGGTTTGTGCTGTCAACTTGTTTAGAAGCCATGTTAAGCCTTGCTTAAAATGCATAGAAATTTACACAAGAAAAGGTGAGTTTGGACCAGAGGATAAAAAGCCTTTCCCACTGCTCAGCTAAACAAATTCTAACCTGCGCTCATCTGCAGAAATTTTCACTCAGACCTTTTTACAATCCTGTAATCCTTTAATTCAGGGTACAATCAGGGGTGATTGGATGGAGCTGAGTGATTACTAGCTGGATTCCCTTCCTGATGCCACGCGGAGATCACAGCGGATATTGTTTTCATTCAGACTCATATTATGCGTTATGTCATACTGTTTCTCACACTGTGTTTATAATTATTATTTGAGGAAATGGAATAAGTTCAGAAAATCTAAGCAATGATAGCCATATTGCTATTATTACCACTACTACTATTACTACAACTATCATAGTATTTCTTATCTTCAACATCCACGAACAAGTGATGTTTAAATAATGCATAATTTTATACAGCAATCAGACGTGGGTTATTTTATATCTATTTTTGGAAATATAATTATGTGCACCAAATTGCCCGATAGCTTTTTATTTGAAACTACAGCAAATAGATGAGGAAAAAAAATAATGCTCCTGTAATAAGGGAATCAATTATCTACTTTCAGCTTGGTAAATCTAAGTGTCTTTTAAATTCAGCTGCACTGATTTATTCCCATTGGGTCAGATGACAAATGATCTGTTAAATAAACATTCCAGAACAGTTGCTAGAACTGAAGCCTGGGGCAACTGAGTTCCCTTAATTACAAATTAGCAGGTTTATATTCTACTTCTGTTGAGGTATGACATTTAAAGGTCTGCTTTCCTTCTCCCTATTATGAATAAATTATTATGCCCCCTTTCACACTGAAGCTTATAGGAAGGGATTGAGAGCAGAATGTTATCGAGATAACCATCTTATGGCATCTACTTTCCACCCACAAATGATATCCTTGATCTTTCCATCCTCACATTTCTGCATTAACTTTCAGATCAATGAGAATAAATTTTAAGTAAAATTCACATAATATGTAAACATTTTGGGATGTTATTAATATATTGCTTTTATTTGAATTCTGTTTTCCCTCTAACCTTTTCCCCCATGCTTTGTCCTCTTCCTCTTTCACACCCCAGGAATTTACGTAACCTTTTTACATCTTTATTATATATCTTCTCTTGGCTTTGTGCAGTGGATTAATTTCAGGAGGTAGGTAAGGAGCAGAAGGATAGTATTCTCTTAACTGGCCCCTATGGTTTCACTTTCCATGGACCAATCCAAAGACTCATTTCCAATGAAGCCATGAGTGGGAAGAGGGTGACTTGCCCTGTGCCTGTCGATCTGCTTACTTCACTCTTGAAGGGCAGACAAGTAAGACACTGCCTAGAAGATTAGTATGTTCTATGATTGCTAGTGGTCCTTGAGAGATGCTGCCTCCCTGTGTACCAAGAGAGGTCTTTAGAGAAGCCAGAGTAGCTGCTACTCACCTATCTGTAGATGGTGCTAAGGAAAGGATGGAAAAACCTCCTAGATCCACAGGTTGCTAGTCATACAGTGCCCAGTGTCTCTACTGTTCTTCCCTCCCACTCAAGGCTTCTATCCCGCCCTCTCACATTGTGACATACATCCTTCCAGGTCCGCACCATTGGTTAAAAGGAGAGTGGAAGGAAAGGGGGGGGGGCAGAGGAGTGAGGTTGTTAAGGACTCACTTGCTGCTTAGTAACTAACTCTATTCCCTGTCTGGTGAAGGAGGAAGGGAGGAGGAAGAAAAACTGGCAGGGGAGAAAAAAAGCTTCTGAAAAGATCATTACTCAGCACGCGCTATTAACTGCACACATGTGGGGGGGGGCAGAAAGTGTGCAGTGGTGCCCATCCTTCCATGGAATGTAAAATTGCACAACTAATAGTATAAAAATGCCAGTGAATCTCTCTAGCTGTATGAAACCAGAACAGGTAAAAAAATCTTTGCAGGATAACTGAGCAACTAGAGACTCAGGGGGAAAAGGAGTAAAAAACAAAAAATCCTTAGTTAAATACCACAGTCATCATGATTGCCATGGATAACTTGAGCTGAAGTATCATTTGAAAATAAAATTCTTCCATAGAACTAATCATTTTTTTTTAACTTATATAAACTTTGTGGGGAGAGATATGTGAAATGTGTTGCTGTAGCAAGCAAACTGAATCCTGAGAAGAAAATCAAATCATAACCCTCAGTGGCTGATACTACACTCATACAGCATCTTTTAACAATGCTGTTCTGTTCACATTTACTTATAAATAAATCCCACTTTGTTCACCGAAGTTTACTTACTGTCCAAACCTTTGCACCTAAATGGTGTTTTTGAAACCCGGCCTAATGTATGCAAAACATGGCATCCCAATTAAAAAAAACACATTATATAGATTAGAGAGCTGTGTTCCTAAAATCTAAATGTAATGAAGTACATATCAAACCTATTGAGATACTCTTGGCACCCCAAAATCCAAAACAATCTTTGTTGCTTACTAGCACCTGGCTGAAGAAGGAACCTGGTCTCCTGTTGCAGTTGTGGTGCAAGTATTTGTAGGAAGAGTCTGTTCAGCTTTCCTTTTCAATCATGTTCTATTATTAATCATGAGTTACAGGGTTTTTATTTATTTATGTGAGTCAGGAAGGAAAGCAAAGCAACGTTCAAGGGATGAGCTGGACGTGCTACCTATGTACAGAGAGAATGTTCTTGAGAAAAGTTGGTTGGGAATATGAGGAATACTCCAAGAATTCAGTGGGTATATGACTGATATTAAGTGGGAGGTTATAAAATGGATGGTCAGACTCGGTCCTTTAAACATGGGTACTCGGTTGGAGCACAGTTACTGTGATCAAAAGTCATACTCATGGCAAAAATAGAGCTTATGCCTTTGCCTAGTCTAAACTGTTGCTGAATGAAGGTGAATATATGTGTCCCAGGATGATGTTGCAGGATACAATCTGTGTTGGTCACAGGACCAGAGGTTTAGTTTTCCAAGTTTTTGGACTCCAATTATGTTTTTGTGAACCCTTGTAAACATGTGGTATCCTCTGTATTACTAAAACCTCTTCATCTCTGGACATTTCTTGACTGCTGGCACTTGGAGTTTTAGATCCCCAGTCCTTTTGGTTCAGGTGGGCTTATTTAAAATGTTGGCACTGTCACAAAATGATTGCCTTGAAGGGGACATGCATATTCCTAACGTGACCGTCCTTGTGAAGGTAGACAGCCATAAAACACCAGGAAGTGAATTGGTGAGGATATTTCCTGCTTCCCCTTCTTATACAAGGGCAATTCAGAAATAAATCTCCATTTGACCATGTGCAAGAAATAGGCAGGGATAGTGCCTCTTGTCCTATGGTGCTGTGCACATTAGTTCAGTGGGCAGTGAGGAGTGGAAGGAGAAGGTTACGTTGCAGTTGACTCATCTGCTAGATAAATTGAAAATGCCATAGAAAATCCCGCCAAATGTGAAGATGCCAAAGGACTACTGCTGGTGAAGTTCATGGAGTGTGGTTCAATCATCAATTCAGACATCTACTGTGAAATGTTATGAAAACTCAGACGAGCCATTCATAACATGTGTCAGGCATGCTGACTTCCGGTGTGGTGTTGGTTCACAATAATGCTCACCCGCACACTGCTAGACGTACCCAAGAAATTTTGAAGCAGTCCGTTTGGGATGTTTTTGATCACCACCACCACCCCCATAGCCCAGATTTGGTGCCGAGCAACTACTACTAAGGAATTTCAAGCCTTGTAAGACATTATTTGTATTTAATTTATTTATATGCCGCCCAATCCCAAAGGACAAGTGCCTCAATCTGAATGGCGATTATGTCAAAAAGTAATGTAATGTTGTAGTTTTCTAATGTGTATAATAAAAGTTCTCTATCTACGAATGTCTGTCATTGATAACCAAATGGAGGTTCATTTCCGAATTGCCCTCGTACCTTCTCCTCAAGGAAAATATATCTTGGGTGAAATTTTGAACATATATATTCTCGCTAAATAAACATTTTGTCGCACAAAATATTTTATCATATATTAGGATACGCGGTAAGCCAATATATGTACTTCATGTCTTCTTCCCTTCTTGGTTGGAAATTTGGATTTTTCAACATTAACAGTTCAGCAAACGAAGAGGTTGAGGATTTATAATCCTCTCTCTCAATTCTTTTTTCAGCAAAAACAGTTGCAGAGATATCCAACTCGCTTTATAAATAAAGTGCTGGAAAACAAGAAAGTTATTGATGTGGCTTTCCTAATGCTAACCTGAATGTTGTTGTTTTTTTGACCCATTAGGTTTATGTAGATGATAATAGCACATCAGCGCATAAGGAGTGATTGCTGAATCAGATCATCCAAGCTTAATGGCTAGTTCAGCATTCTTGCTTTATAGATGCTTTTGAGAACATTAAAAGCAGAACAGGAAGACAAGATCCTCCCCACCTCATTACTCTTTTCCAGATTGCAAGTAATATATCTAAAGGCATTAAAAGTATTCTGGCCTGCTTTCCGTCTAAGCTTATTGTTTGATTATGGTCTTTCAATAATCATAATCATAATAATTTATTTTGTTGTATGCCACGCAGATTGGCCAGATTACAAAAACTAAATGAAGAAATGAAGTAGATATGATACTTTGCCTCCTTGAGGTAGCATTCCCCCATCAAAATTCAAATGACTATAGAAAAATGCCACTAGATGTGGGATGGTATTCTCAGCTGCCTAGGCTCAAAGTAAAAAACCTAAGCCATAATGTGGCTTGTTTGGGTCTGGCTTAGTATATTATATGAACACAACCATTGTAGCTTGTAAATCATAGTTTATACTTTAGTGCAGATGTGAGGAGCGATGGCCCCTTTATGAGTTCTGGACTTCAACTCCCAGAAATCCTAAGTTGTAGTCCACAAGTATAAAAGGGCCATCGTTCCCCCACCCCTGCCTTAGTGTGAAAAGCAAACCTAGAACAATTAACCAGTGGAACAACCTGCCTCGAGAAGCAGTGAATACTCCAACACTGGAAGTTTTTAAGAAGAGACTGGACAGCCATCTCTCTGAAATGGTATAGGGCAGTGATGGCAAACCTTTTAGAGACCGAGTGCCCAAACTGCAACCCAAAACCCACTTATGCATCATCGGGTACTGGGTGGGTGTGGCCCATTGGGTGGGCATAGCTGCAATTGTAACAGCAGACAGGGTGGGACTAAAAAGTTCAATCAATCAATTCCAACTTTGCAAGATCTTTTTTTTCCCGTGAGAAGTTGAAATTGACTGATTGAACCCTTTTTTTTTTTTTTTTTTTGCACACGGCGGCCTAAAGCAAAAAGGTTTTATAAAACCCAGCGATAGTTCACGTGCCCACAGAGAGGGCTCTGAGTGCCACCTCTGGCACCCGTGCCATAGGTTCACCACCACTGGTATAGGGTTTCCTGCCTGAGCAGGGGGTTGGACTAGATGACATCCAAGGAGATAATCCTTGAAATAGTTTAAAGCATTCTTAGTACCTCAGATTTTTGAATTTGCACCAATAGTGGGTTTATTAAAAATTATGTGAAAATCACTATGGGATCCTTAAGAAAGAAGAAATGTAGACGTGGAAATAAATGTTTTTTTCATTTACAAACAATTAGCTTAAAGGGATTCTAGATACAAAAAGTAGCATTTGAAAGTGTTGTTAACAGACTTTAAATTTCTCCAATCTAAATTTCAGATCTGGAGTTCAACCCATATTAAGTCATAATACAGTTTGTTGGGTTTTGGCAAAGCACGTTATGTGAGTCCAGTGAATCTGTGAGAATATGAAGCCAGATTTCTTCCCAGCCAATCATTTAGGCAAGACACATTTTTTCCCTCTCTAAACACTACCTGTTTTGAGCTGCAAAACTCCAGCCAATACTAGCCCTCAGCGAAGTTTTTTCTGTTCTGCCTTGCTATTATCTAATTGTCATCCAGATTCTTTTCAGCCCCAAATTGGTACACTTACCCTTGAATACTCTCTTTTTGAAAGTTTTTTTACAACCTACTTTTCTAGATGTGTCAGAATAATTAATTTCTCCTTGTAACAGCCCATTTAATTAACCTGAACATTTTTAATTCCATTAATAGGTCTTACTTTGCTCCAGGAAGAATGCTATTTGATTCTCAAATTAGGGTTCTTAATCACTTTCCCTTGTTTCCTGATACTGAAGTGGCTATACTAAAGATCCTATTTGCTCTTTATAGCTCAATCTCATCATCATCATCATCATCATCATCATCATCATCATCATCATCATCGACAAGCACCTGCAACATAACACCCCAGATTTAACAACTGTCGATAAGAAAGACAAAAAAGTCTGGATAGTGGACATGGCAGTGCCTGGAGACAGCAGAATAGACGAGAAAGAACTGGAGAAGATAACAAAATACGAAGACCTACAAATAGAAATAGAAAGACTGTGGCAAAAGCAAACAAAGGTAGTACCAATAGTAATAGATGCCTTGGGTGCAATCCCAAAACAACTGGAGCACCACTTGAACACCATTGGCATTGACACATTTGCTATTAGTCAATTGCAAAAGGCGGCCTTATTAGGAACTGCTTCCATCCTGCAACGATATCTG